TGTTACTCTTCAGCTAAGAATTTGAATCCACAACCTCATTTTTTTCTTTATTTACTTTTACCAGCATCATTAAGGACAAATAGCCAATCTCCTTATGCTGGCAAAAGCATTCTGAGGTTTCAAATACATAGTCACTCAGAACCTTACTTCAGTTAAGTATTTAATTTCAAGTCTCCAACGGTGGTATTTTGCATCCTATTTTGATAGCATGCCATGGACTATCAGTGTTCTGTCTACCACTAGAAATAGTTGTGTCATTACGACCAATCAAATTAGAGGACTAACTAAAAAAACACAAGAAATTAAACAAAAAACTTTATTCATAAAATTCTCTTCCTAGAATTCCTATTTCCAACCATTCGTATTTCGAAGGATTGTGTATTAGGTGAGGGTGGTGTTATTTAAAGGAATAAAACAGATTTGAAGGACTTGGCCCTTGCAACTTTGGGGGCTGGTAATCCAAAAGAGGGCTGGCAGATGGTGAATTCAGGTCGGAGTCTATGATTCAATCTTAATTCAAAGATCTGGAGGCAGAACTCTTCATCATCAAGACATCTTGTCATCTTTTCTGAAGACCTCCAATTGCTTGGATGAGGCCTACCCACACTGTAGAGGACAATCTGTTTTACTCTAACAACATCTACAGATTTACAATTTAATCACATCTAAATAAATACATTCTCAGAAAAAGCTGGATTGTGGTTACTAAGTATTAATGCCTCTAGCCAAGACATAGGTGTGGGGTGATCACCTGTAATCCCAGAATTTGGGAGCCTGAAGCAGGAGGGTCAGCTCAAGGCCAGCCTGGGCTACATAATGTGATCTTGTCTCACAAAAACCCAAAACCAAAACCAAAACAAAAACCCAAGCCTAGGCTGGGGAGATAGCTCAGTGGTCTAAGCACCTGCCTGGCAAGCATATGGTCCTAAATTCAATCCCCAGTACTGCCTACCGTGCCCCAGGCATGGTGGCACATGCATGTAATCCCACTACTAAGGAGGCTGAGACAGAAGGATCACTGTAAGTGAGCTGTGTAGTGAGACCCTGCATCAAATAAGTAAATCATACTTTTTAAAAAAAAAGTCTAGCTAAGTTGGCACAAATTAAACATTAAAGTTCATCACTGGCCTCAAATAGCCCATTCAGAAAGGAACACATATTATTAACCTCATAAACTATAGCAAGGAACAATTCAACAATTCTGAGGAAGAACAGCACCATATCTGTCAGAGGGCCTCCATGCAATGCTAATTACAATGGAATGGACTATTGGTAAAGGTCAGGGGCCAGTGGTGCTAGAAGCCCAGTCCACGGCGGTACATCAGTGATACCTCAGTGGATGTTCTAGAGACAGCTAAATTATGTCACACAGTAGGTGAAGGACACAGGAGATATTAGGTGTGTTACAGAATTGGGTGACCCAATGATGTAAAAGTATCATGCTAGGTGAATTCTAGTCCCTTGTATTCTATTAAAAGCATAATAAATATTTGCTTAATATTAGTTTAAAGGTTTTTTGTCATATGCATTTTATTATAATGTAAAATTGACCCTGACTTAGAGTTCTATGATAGTTATTTTATTTATTTAATGTATTTAGTACAGGGACTCACTAAGCAGCTTGGATTCATAGTGATCCTTCTGTTTTCAGCCTCCCCAGCACTGAGATTATAGATATGCACCAGCATGGTAGGACTCAGTTGCTGGCTCAGCACGCCCAAGCATAGGGCCAGTGCAGTGTGTGGTACTGGAGATTGAGCCCTGGTCCCTGGGCTTGCCTAAGCAGGCACTTAGTTTGCTGAGCTCTCTTGCTGGCCCTTATGACATTTTATTGTATTATATTGTATTGTACTGTATTGTATTGTATTGTTTTTATTTTATTATTTTGGTGGAACCGGGGATTGAACTAAGGCCCTTGCGCTTGCCAGGGAAGCCCTTATTCCACTGAGCCATCTCCCCAGCCCCATATGATAGTTAATTTTAAAGAACACAATAAACTTATTTTAATTTTGGATGCATACATTAATAATTTAGTCTTTTGCCAAATAATTTTTTGATTCCCCTTTGATTATAATTCCTGGTTTTTGATTGGTTTCTCTTTTCACACATTTTACTATAGGCAGTGCTGTGACATCAACACTGTTTAGTGACTTCTTCTGCCAAATATCTTGTTCATCACTCCTTCTGCAATTAAACACTGGAATACAGATGCAGTTCTGTCAAATTCTTTGCCATTTCTTATGAAACAAAGAGTGTCTTTCTTCCAGTTTCTAGGAGCGTGTCCTTCATTTCCATGCATATCTCATCAAAATGGCCTTTACTGTCCACAGCTTGCCCACATTTTATTCATGACCATTCAAATAATCTCCAAGTAGGCTGAAGCTTTGACTGCATCTCCTCTTCTGATCTCTCACCAGAAGAATTTTTTAAATCCAGCCTCTGCTGGTACTTAGTTCCAAAGCCACTTTGGAAGTGCTTATGGCAGCGGCATCCACTTCTTGGTGCCACTTTCTCAGTGTGTTCTTGCTGCTTTAACAAAAATGCTTCAAAATGGATAATTTAAAAATGGTAGAAATTTATTTCTCATGGGAAACCAAAGATCAAAGTGCTAGGATGGCACTTTCCCTATATACTCACATGACAGAAGAGTGCCAGGGATGAATGCTATGTCCTTACAGGAGAGCAAAGCAGTGAAAGAACCCCCTTGGCAGCTGCTGGCAAGAGTGCTAATCCCATGCACAAAGTGAGAGGCTCATGATTTACTCCCCAAGAGGTCTCCCCTCAAAATATAATTACCTTACGACTCAAGTTCCAACCTAAATCTTACGGGGGCAGAGGGCACACATTCAAGGCAGGCAGGATTATACAACAATTTCAAGAACAAGTTCACCTAGATAATACTGCATTTTAGTAGATAATACTTGATACAAATTTATGAATTCATTTATGCATTATGAATACTTGGTAACTATAGCACTTTGAAAAATGAAATAACTTAGGTGGGCTTGGTGACACACATCTGCAATTCCAGCACTCTGTCAGGCTAAGGAAGGAAGAAGGAAAGTTTGACTCTAGACTGGTAACAGAATTTCAGCAAAGCCCCTGTCTCAAAATAAAAATCAAAAAGAGCTGAGGCTGTATTATTGTGTAACGGTCCTAGGTTCAATCCCTATAATAAAAAATTGTAATAACACTATAAATTCCTACAAAATTGGTTCCTAAACTGGAATGCTGGTGCTAGCTTTGGCAGCACATACAATAGACTGGACCTCCACAGAACACCACAGTGAGGAAAAGATAAAGGCAGGACTCATTGGCCAAACAAGGTTTTTAAGTGCACTAAAATCATTTGAATATTAAAGACTATGTGATGTAAAGGATGGTATTAAATACATGACTGTATTCACTAGTTCTATGGAACTCCAGATGGACTTCACAAGGGAGGAAGGAGATCTGGGGACGGGGCTGACTGGAGGGAGGGGGGGACAAGGGGATGTGGAAAGGACAAAGGTGCCTTATGCATATGTACAGCGCTCCATGATGAGTGTGTTCAACATGTATTTCAAACATATACCAGCAAAAACAAAATCAACCCTCAGGCTATGGTTTCAATATTTAAAACACTGAAAAATAGTTGAAGTATTTTGACTTATTTTAGAATGTATTTATCAGTATTGTACATACTTCTCATTCCTTGAGCTTGGCCAACTTCAGTTGTTTCAACTTGACCCACATATTCTACAGGTGACTCTAGACTTTCATGTGTATCTTGAGCTATGAAAATGAAAAAAAACCCTTTTAGTAAATTAAATATAGTAATACAAATGCAACTTATCTATTATAGCTAATCTTACCAGGACCATAAAATCTGAAAGTTAGGAAAATGTGAATACATCTTTATGTCAAATAAGAATAGAAAGAGCCTAGTAGCAACAGAGAAATGGTAGCAAAAGAGAGGGGAGAAGTGCAAAGCATTTACATGAAAAGTTAGAGAAAATTGTCTCACTATTTTAACATGAAATGGAACCAACTCTTCTAAGACTTCCTTTATCTTTGCAGGGGTAATGACAACAAAGTATACAGCCAGGTTATCTGGGCTTGAAATCTATCTCTAATTATGTGAATTTGACAAGTTGCTCCATATTGCATTCTGTCTCGAAGATGGATGGTAACAAATTCATTGGATTTCTTTTTGAAATATTTATCATGTGTTTTGTAATAAGCATTCAATAAATAACAAAATATGTCTTTGCCTTTCCCTTCTTCCCGTCTTTTCTCCTTCTCCTTCTCTTTCTGTACTGGGGACTGATTGAGCCGAGTCATCACACACTAATTTAACTCATATCATCAGCCTTTTATATTTTGAGACACAATCCCACAAAGATTTACAGGTCTGGCTTGAGCTCGCTATTGATTCTCTTGCCTCAGCCTCCCAGAGTGCTGAAATTCAAGCATGTGCCACCCTGCCGCCAGTCTTTAAAATTGTTCTTTTGTTCCGAAGGTTCAGACGTCAAAATCAAATGTTATTTTGATTGATTTATGCCCACATTCTAAATTTATTCTTTTGAATATGAAAATTTATATTAAGATACTTTGATGATATTGCATATACTGTTTCCTTTTGGAAAAATTTTCATTACTTAATTTGAAGTTGAGGTTTTGATTTTGAGTCTACTGGAAGAAGACTTTCACTGGTAATCAGAGGCACATTCTGACCTAAAAAATATGTTTGAAAAAAAAAATGAAGGGACTTCGTCATCTACTCTAAAAACATGTTGAAACACATGGCATGTTTCTTTCATTTTATTAAGATGACAATTTTCACTATTACATGGCATGGCCACGGGCTGGCCAGATAACTCAGCGGATTAAAGGACTTGGTTAGGCAGATGCAGTGACTGGGGTTTGATCCTCTGGTGTGTGATCCCCTTGTGTACCGTGCCGGCCCCGCCCCCTGGGCTCAATGAGATGATCACTGAGACTGGGTGTGGTGGTGTGCACCTGCAATCCCAGCACTTGGAAAGCTGAAAATGAGAATCACTACGAGTCTGACCTGTGTAGTGAGACCCTGTAGACCCTGTACTAAATACAAAATAAATGAATAAATAATTAAATAAGTAAACCTAGACTAATATACCCTGCAAAACTTTCTTTCAAATATAATGGAGAAGTGAAATATTTTAATGACAAAGAACAACTAAAGAATTTCATAATGACAAAGCCAATCCTACACAGACTACTAAAAGATATTCTCGAGAGGAAGCAAAATGACCACAACTCCATGAATGAGAATAGAAAGAACCCACCAAACAGGGCAAACAATTAAACACAGGAGAAAAAGAGGTATGCAACAGCAGTCTTTCAATTATTCTTTTGTATACAGCAGCAAAATATTTCCATCAGCATACTCTACAATTGGACTTCTCCTGTACCCTATGGGGCATGATTCTATCTGGGTCTACAGGGTGGATATCAAGGAAATAGCAGTAGCTTGGTCCTACAAGTGACACCTGGCCACCAGTAAGCATCATGGACACTGTCCATGTCCACGACATACTATAACTTTGTGTGATATCTTATCCCCAAACTGTTGGAAGTGCTGCTCATATACTTGTCATTCCAGTATTTATGTTATGTTTTATTCTTAGTAATTCTTTACTATCATGAAATTTTTTTCTCAGTTGAATTGTTTTGAAATATTTAATTTTGAATTAATTAATATTTAGTTACTTTTCTGAATAATGTTTAATCTTAATTTTTGTTTTAAAATTTATATTGTATCTTGGAATTACAATCTACTTATAAGACATAGTATGATATTTTCTCCTAGTATTAGAAACTTTAAAAAGTAATTTTTCATTTTCCATTGACTTTATATTATTCTTCCTTGTCTTTTACACACAGTCACACACACACACACGAAAAAAATGTGTATATAACCTGACGTAAGATTGATAATGTTTTGCAGAAATCATCAATAACTTTTTAAATGGGCTCATCTGATATATTTTACACAGTTCTGCATGACTACCATTTTGAGAGCTTTTTATTTTTTATCCAGGACCACACAGCAACGTCTCTTGCCTTCTGGATTATGCCCCTTATCATTTTCTATATGCTACATCTGGAGGTATTAGAATATTTAGAGTGTGTATAACTGGAAAATATTTTACTTTTTGTTTTCAAATGTATGTTTGCTAAGTATAAAATTCAATAAGGACATATCTTTTTTTATTTTCTTTCAGTCCTTTAAGTTCATTAGTCTAGTTTCTTACACACTTGCTCTTTTTTTTCTAATGTGGAATAAGATGCTATTTAATTTTGTTCTTCCATAGCTAATATTTTTTATGTATATGCTTTAAGGATTTTTTTCTTTACAATTAGTTTTGGACAATTTCATTTTTGTGTATCTTGGTATGATTTTATTCATATTTCTTGTGCAAAAGGTTCATTTGTCTTGGAAATGTGTTGCTATAATCTCATCTAAATTCAGAAATTTTAAATCTATAAATATTTGTTGCCTACCCCCTTTACTTTGAGAATTATAATTATATGAATACAAGTTTCTTGATGTTGACACACAGTGAACTATTATATGAAAGATCTGTAAATTCTTTCTTCTTCATTTGTATTTTGGACAATTTTTATTGTTATATTCATTTAAGCTTGCAAATAACTTATTTACAATGTGCAATCTATTATCAATCTCATGCTATGTATTCATTTTGGAAATATTTCTCTAAATTCACTCTGTCTACATCTTATATCTTTCACATTTCAATATTTGTCTACAATTTTTAATATGCTATATAATTATTGAATTTCAATAAAGTTAATGAGAAAAGATAAAAATAAAAAAGAATAAATATCACACTCAAAACCCTATCATGTAAGCATTTAGAAATATAAAACTTAACATACCTTAATGTCACTGAACTAAACAAGTTGATATACTGCTCCCTCATACAACTTAGAAAATCAAGATTTTATTTTATTATACCTTTCGTATTTTATTTACTCTTTCAGGTACATTAGTGAGACAATATGATGTTTGCATATGTGATTCTGACTTATAGGAAAAATTTGTATCATAAACTTGAGAGGCTATGGATAGGATTGTGAAATTAAGGTAGGTTAAAAAGTGCTAATTCTTAAAGAAAAATCTAAATATTGAAATACTTCAGAATCTTAGGTGTACACATTTAATGTCATTGACACATTTTTGAAATATATAAGACAATTCATAAATCATTGCACGCTCCCACTGATACATCGAAGATGAGCTCTTTTAAATTTATTCCTATCTTTTGCACATAGTTTACATTAGGTTGCTTATCTTTTCCAAGTATATTTTATATATTAATCCTTATTTGGCAGTGTATTACAGTAACCATAAGGAGAATCCATGAAAAACAGCAACAGGAGAAATTCCTCTTATGGGCAGAACTTTAAGGAGTACACACAGGGCTCCACTACATGTGGAACTAGAGGTAGTTTCAGATTAACATCTATAGTACATTTTTTTAAATCATTAGCTACTAGAATTGGCTAGGTAGTCAGGGATAAAAGACAAAACTAATTTTTAAAAAGTGTGTCAATAATCTTGGGGCGGCTTCCAGCTACGCTGCGTGAGCAGGACCTACCGGTCCAAGCCCAGGCGCAGCATGTGTGAGACCCATTTACACACCCTTGGGACGCCCCGCACCACTCAGCAGCACCCCCTGCCCACCCCGCCCGCCATGTGAGAATTTCTGCCATGTTCTAGGAACCCCAGATCCAGTCCAAGCCCAGGCGCCGTGAGTGTGTGGGAGACCTTACAGCTACCCTGTGCCGGTGGAATCTTCTGGTCTGAGCTCAGGCACAGGTACAGCATGAGTGAGATCCTCTTCCACTCCCTTGGGACTCCGCACACCACTCCACAGCAACCCCCCACCACATCCGCCACGTGAGAATTTCTGCTGCATTCTAGGGACCCCCAGATCCAGTCCTAGCCCAGGCCCGGTGAGTGTATGGGAGAGTTTCCTCTCCCCAAAACTCCACTGTGTCCGTTCCAGACTCAGCTCAAGCCTGGCACACAGGCCTGGGGTGAAACCCTGCATCTGCAATCCCTGTAGAGAGACGAGGGGACAGAACCACCCAGCTAGTCAAGGAGCAGAACATCTTGCCAGAGGGGCACAACAAGTTCACTCCCAAGGGCAGTAGCAGGAAGAAGCTAAGCACAGCAGCCAGACCCAAGCCAGGCACAGCTGGATAAATCCAAACTTTGTAGATATGCACCTGAATTTCAAGGTACTAAGGTTATAACTGCACCAAAGCTCTACAACAAAGGCCAGAAGACAGTGCTAAACAAAATGACAATGAGAAGGAGAAAAATGCAATCTCAGACCCAAGCCCACGCATAACAATTGCAAAGGACACTAACAAGAACAAATTGGGAATCACACAGCTGAAATCAATGAATGAACCGCTTCTGAAATAAAGAAACAACTGCAGAAAGGTACAGAGGAACTCAGACTGGAGATGAAAAAAGAAATCCCTGAATTAATAGCATCTGCAGTAAAGAGTCAAATGGAGAAACATATGGAGGAAACCCAATGTCCACCCAGAGCGAGTGCAGAAGACACTAGCTCAGTTCAAATGGATGAATTAATAGCGTCGATAGTAAATAAGCAACAGCAGAAAGTTATACAGGAACTCAGAGGGAAATTCTTTTCTGAAACAAAAAAAGAATTCTCTGTACTCATAGCATCTGAAGTAAAGAATCAACTATAGAA